ACCATGGCCAGCAGAACTAACCGCGGAGTTAAGACAGCAGAACATTTTCTGCAGTGTGATGCAATATTTGATAAGAGAACCTCTACGTTCTTTCACCTTGCGGCAACCGATTGGTCAGAGGAAACGGGTTGTCATATGCTTTCGAACAGAGGTTAGGGGACCCATGCATGACTCGAGGCCCCTTCTTTATAAGACACTATTCGATATCCACCGACTTTGGAATGAGCCAAAGGGCATGGAATCCCGTTGAGGGAAAATAAGAAGTCGAACGAACAACATTAGAGAAAATTCTATCTAGCCTGTTAGGTGCAATTGCGATGCCAAATGTTACACTAGTGCAGTACTAAAACGTCGCACACGTTCGCTAAGAAACCTCGCTTACTATGCACTCTCAGGAAATCTATGTTTGCTCCTTGCTTCGATAGTGCAAACGGCACACTTATGGACACAACACCGCTACAAGTTGCCAACCCATCCATGTGCGACCCAAAAATCATAGTTTGTATCGCTGACCAGCTCCGAACGTGCTTTCACGTAGATCCTCTGTGTAAGTGCGCAGATTCCGACGCAAATTTGGCAGACAATCAGGTCCAAGAGTTGTAGTGGTGGTGGTGGTGGTGGTGGTGGAAAGCCGTTGTGCAGAATACATGACCATCAATTTGTGACCGTAGCCAATCAGGGGGCATGATCTTGATCCGTTGGGGCAGTGGAGCCAGTGTGGAAAAATAACTGGACTGGAAGGTGGAGGCTATGCATGTTGCGGGCGACGCAGAGGAAAAAATACACGCGAAATTTTGCGGATGCAAAAATTTATTGTCACTCAAGAGTTGAATGTCGTTACAACTCTTGCGATACCCGCATACGCAAGACTGATAAATGTACTATTATCCACGCAGATGGAACATTTTTCACTTATCGTTTCATACTGACTCGGCATTATGCAAATGCTCTAACAAATGACAGTCTGAACGTCACAAGGGACGGCATCCGGTGAGTGCATCACAGATTGAGACCAACACCGGTGACGTGCACATGAATTAGTTAATGGAGAGACAGACTTTTGCAGCAAGTAGCACCCACTTTTCTCCCTCACTCATAAAGTCAAGACGGTCGGATGCAGTCGGGGACGCAGTGACCGACGAAGCTTAAAATTCCGTTTGTATATGTTGCTAGAGAAATGGTCCCCATTCCAGATATATCAGGCTACACCAAAGGAACTGCTCCCACCTCGAGAGGGAGGTAAATTTACTGAAATGCGAAATTTCGCCCACCAAACCAGTGAGGACAAAATGGATGGCATGCTAGCTGCAGAAGTGATGAAGGGTGTGTCACGGAGAGATTTCGTGTACGGACGTGTTATACAGTTTGTTCCTGTGTGGCGTAGGGTGTGTGGACAAGTGGGACGATGTGCGATGGTGGGTACTAAACGGTGTTTTATTATTGGAAATTGTAATAGAGGCGCATATGGGTGAATAGGCCCATTTGGACGTAGAATGTCCGAGGGCAATATGTGAACATCAGGCGGGAGCGAAGAGTGTATGTCAGGGCGCTTTGCACTGGTTTGGCAGTCTCAGCATGATGGATTCACAGGCGACCGACAAGGCTGTTGCGCGATCAAAGCATACAGCGACATTAAAGACAGAATGAGTCTGTGACTGCCGAGCCGGTGGGGACTGTGACGGTGATAGTGGAGGCATTCATGATGGTGGTAGCTTCTTCGGGTGTATGATGTGGGTATGGTGGATGTGCCAGTCGTACTAGATGTGTCGATACTGTGATGAATTCCTTTGTAGTGGAAACGTATGTGACCGAGTAGGACT